TGTTTTTTGTTCTTTTCTGTTATTGAGAAAATTAATGGCTTGACTTTCTCATGTAGCCTTCCATGGCAGGGTCTAAAAGCTGATACCAAGAAGCAAAAATACGACAAGATCCGTGAGAAAAAAGTATCAACACCAATTGAGGTATGTTTTAGGAAGCTGATGGCTAGATTCTTTTTTTTTTTGGTTACATTTACTCCGTTCGTTTCAGTTTACATGACACACTTTCTTTATTAGTACGTTCCAAAAAGAATGATACATTTCTTTATTTAGAAACAATTTAACTTTAAACTTTTCGTTTTACCCACTTTATCTTTAATGCGAAGCCTTTATAGCCATATACAATATCATGACCCTCAAAGCTTTTACCCTTAAGCTTCTAGGACCACATGTTTCAAAAGTCTTTTTTTTATCTTAAATTTTGTGCCAAGTCAAAGTAGATCATCTAAATTTAAATGGAGGGAGTATAATATAAAGGTGGCGTCCCGACCAACTTGCTTGCGCGTTTGCTGATTCACAGAGTGCCTACTACATCCGTCCAGTGTACTATGTAACTTGCCTATCAAGATTTAACTAGATGGAAAGAATTGACGTCGCCTCTGTTTGGACAAACCTTGGTTGCCAAGAATGTCACTTCAGCTCTTTGACCTGTAAAGTGTAAACCTCCCCTTTGGGGGCGGATGGCTAGATTCTTTTTCTTTTTGCTTTGAGTTGGTACATTTTTTATAGGTCAGACTAGAAGGGGCGTAAATAGATTGTTCTATAACTTTATATTAACTCTCATCCAATCTTGAGCCGAGGGTCCGAAAACAGCTTCTCTACCCTCACAAGGTAGGGATAAGGTCTGTGTACACACTACCCTCTCCGGACCCCACTTATGGGATTACACTGGGTTTGAGGTGGTTGTTGTTGTGTTAACTCTCATCCAAAATGAGAATTTGGAAATGACCTGTACTTTGGCCATTTGAAATCTAAAGCTTCCTTGAGTATCAATTGGCGTGTTCCAAGCTCGGGCTCTATGCTTGCTGAATCAAAACCAGAAAAATAAATTATAATCTATATTACTTGGACTCTTCAAAAATGCCTTCGGATGCGTGTCAGGTCTTCCATAAGTAGTATATTTTTTGGAGGATTCGACACGGGTGAGGCAAATTTTTTTGAGACTCCAAGCAATACAGATGATGATGTATCTCAAACTATTATTGTGGTAATGGCTAATGGGTGCTACAATTAATACATTTTTAGGTTAAGACATTCACGGTGACTTTCATTTCATTGAGTTTTATGGATAATCAACTGACTTTCAATTTTCTCGCTTTAGGTTTTATGCAAATCTCTTCCAGTGGAGTTTGCTTCATACTTGCATTATTGTCACTCTTTAACATTTGACCAGCGCCCTGATTATGGATTCCTGAAGCGCTTGTTTCGTGACTTATTTACTCGTGAAGGTACCAATTTTAAATTCAGATTCTAGCACAAGCAAAATGAACGTCAAAAGCGTCAATTATTCTGTGTCCATAATTATAGAGGGTTAACCTAAGGTCTCTAGCCTAATTGGATTATCTGCCCAGAAAGACGTATTCAGTACTTTTATAAGTTTCTTGCAAATAGGCTTGATCTTTCTTGGGCAGAGTTCCCAACATACCTGCATTCTCGCAGGATTTAGAGTTATTTTATTGAATTTTTTTCTGAATATTGTATTGCGGTGACTACTGTTCTCTATCCCATCAGGGTATAAATTGGATTATGTGTTTGATTGGACCATCTTGAAATATCAGCAGACGCAGAGCTCTAGGTCGCAGCTAGAACTACCAGTTAGTACTTTCATCACTTTGTTTTTCGGCCAAAGTGCTGTTTTCATCGGCTTTAAATATTTTTTTCACGTGTATGAAGACATCTGGTATTGTATATCATCTTTATAAAAAATAAATTTGATTTGATGTTCTTTTCTCTGTCATTCGGAAATTGCAGAGCCTGCATCCACTTTCTGTAACGACTGGCACTGGAGCATTGCCAAAGGTTTTAAATAAGCAAGGTAACTTGTCTTCCGGCTGCAAATTAGCTCTTTCATCTGCTGATTTCGATCTCCAAAGATGACAGCCGTTTCTGTAGAATAGCGATAGTAATTTGTAGTCTTGTGATTCTGTCAATTATTGGAGCTGCTGTATAGACAGAACTAATTAGGGTGTGTGTGTGTGTGTGAAGTAATTCCTCTTTTTGCAATCTGCAGGAAGTTTGATTTTGAACTTTCCGGGTGACTCCTTATCAGATTAAAACCTTGGATCTAGCTGTTTGAATTATCACAATTCATATGAACTTTCCTTAAGTATGACCACTTTTGCTCCATTTAGCTGACCTTAACCTTGTTATAGTTTTGGCAATTAACGATTCCCTTTAATATCTGCCATACAGAGAAGAGAGGAGTAAATCTCAAATTATATTTTTTGTTTGAGAGTTTACTGATATTTAACTGGTTTTATATCTTCATTTAGGATTTAATAATGCCACGCACTTAGCTGAAGCTACAAAGCAGAAGGTATCAGGTAGTTTTGGACGTGGTGATGGATCAGCAACCTATCTGAAACCTGATAATCGTACTGGAAAAAATGTAAGTTCAATGTAGGCTGGAGATTCTTGTTGATTTTATCTATCCGATTTTAATTATATCAGACTTCAATATAGAGTGACATTTTACCATCAAAAGATTCTTCTTGTTTCATTTAGTAGTCTTGTTTACTGTATATGCATGTTGCATACTATTGCTCTATTTTTATTTTATTTGTTACAGATAACAACCGATGCTTCTGTTCCTTCTACATCGTTGGCTGATGCCTTCAAGAGATTCACAAAACACGAAGATTCAATTGAAGCTGGAAATGTAGGGCATGCACAGAGTGGAAAAACTGGTGCTTCAAGCAGCAAGCTGCATTTCTTAAGCAGGATTTCTTCAGCCAAGTAAACTGGTAGAGGAATTTTCTTCAATCAAATGGTTTCTCTTTCTTTTAAGTTGCATCATACGCAGCTGCGTTTTGCCTTTTACAGGCCATGGATTAATAAGTCTATTCTTTCTCCTTTCTTTGGAAAAAAATAGGGATGATACTTATTTGACGGGAGAAGTGCAGAAGTCGTCTAATGTCTACTTCGTGAAGTTGAATTCACTTGAGCCTTGTGTACCACTAATGTACCTATCTCGAGGTGACTATGAAGTATAAAGCATTGGATGTTGCTGAAAGATGGCCTATCAAAGCTTGGTTGTCTTTTTTAGTTTTCTTTGTCTTGAATAATGGGACATTAAGCCAGCTACAGTTCACTATTAAATGATGTGTAAAGTGGTTCTTTCATTCATTTTCTAATTGCGCATAAAAGTGACATTCAAATGTTTGTTTGCTGTATGGCACTCTTATCTGAATTTTATTTCCTTAGTTTCTTTGCAAAAGCATGGATGTTTACGTGAATCAGTTTTAAACCTCGGTGCTCAAGTCCCTGAAAGTTCGAATCCAGTATAGAGTATTTCAGGTATATCAAACATATTTTGGTTGGTGTTCAGGTTCTCACTCTCTTTGTTAGTTGTGTATTATGTAGCTTATTTGCTTAATTTTCATGAATTTCAGACATCTATATGTCATGAATTTTGATGATGAAGCCTGCCTTTGGTGTTGAAGTTCCAATGGGGCGTCATCGTGGCTCTTAATAAATCAACCTTGCCTTTGTTTATAATCCTATACTTGCTTCGGAGATGATGGAACTTCTATAAGCTGAAGTAGCAGGTAATCAATCCGGAATTAGAGCCATAGCTTTTCTGCTCCTTTATGTTTATCTAATCTTATCTAAAAACAATCTCCATACCACTTCATGGTGGCCATTTTCGCTTCAAATAAGGCTTTTCATGTATTTAACTCAATAATATCTTATTTATCTCTCTGTATTTCTGCTCTTTTAAGTAGTGCATGGGACAAAGAAGTTATCGTAGTTTTGGTAATGTTCTGTCAAGAGGCTAGTTTGTTGAATTTGTTGAACTTTTTGGCAGAACACTATTTAGATACACCAATAATACTCCTTATATGTCCAGGAAAAACATGATAATTTCAGCTAGTTTGGACCAAGAAGTTTCAATCTTTTCCATTAGCTTCATGTTACACTTTTTGACATGTATCATACCCCCGTCGTGAAGGTGGTTTCTTTTTTCTTTCTTTTGTGTGTGTGTTGGGGGGGTTGTAGTGGGTATTTTAGAGTTACTTGTGTCTTCATCTTCAGCACCAGATGGTATTCAACAATGGCGCGAGATTCTGATGGAAAAAAAACACAAAGAATGCTATAATTAGCGCTGCAAGACAAGATCTTATGTCGGACAGGTGGTATTCTGAATTGAAACTCACAAAGACCAATCACTAAGGGTGTGTTTGGTACGAAGGAAAACATTTTTCGGAAAATGTTTTCCAATTTTCCCATGTTTGGTTGGCTTAAATGTTTTCAAAAACATTTTCCTTGTTAACTCATTTTCCTCCAATTGGAGGAAAATATTTTCCTTATCAAGAGAAGGTACANACATTTTTTTTTTACTTTTTTTTATAATTTCAAATTTCTGTGTTTTTATTTTTTTGCACACCGCCCCCCTCCCCGGGAAAAAAATATTTTTATATATATTTTCAGTTATAGTTTTTTCATCTTTCGATTTATAGATTCAAAATTTTACGAGTTCCAAAGTTATAAGTTCGGAAGTTTATGTGTTTGGAAGTTTACGGGTTTAGAAAATTATAAAGTTTACGGGTTCGAACGTTTGCGGTTTTGAAAGTTTAGCAGTGTGGAAGTTTATGAAATTTGTGGGTTGGAAGGTTGTTGGTTTGAAAGTTTATGGCTTCATGTTTATTGTATCTAAATTATTTATGAATACTTTTGAGAAGTTATTTTCCTTAATTTGCGTACCAAATACCGGAAAATGAGTAAGATTACTATTTGTTTTCCAAGAAAACATTTTCCGTTATACCGAACACACCCTAAGTCTGCAAATTTTGTGCTGTATTTAAATGAATAGAACACAATTCTGTTCGTCTAGTTCTTGATTGGTATAGGCTTGTGAACCTCAACGTAGCTTCCTGTCTGCTGTTTTCCCTCAAATGCACTATTTCTATAAATGTTACTCATTTAGGCATTCAAAATGAAGTTATTATGAAATGTGACGTTTTACACATTTCTTTAGAACCAATTACTCTGGCAAATAAGAAGCCGATGGGGAGTCAAAAACCTGTTTTCTTAGCATGTACAAAATATTTAGTACTTAGCACTCAGCGGTACCATTGGAAGAAATTAATTGGCGCTATACCATTGGTGTGTTTGGTAGAAAGGAAAATTGTTTTCATGGAAAATGAGTGATTTTATCATTTATTTTTCCTTGTTTGGTTGGTGAGTGAAATTTTTCTTTCGGAAAATATTTTCTAGTGTTTGGTTAGAGAATAGAAAATATTTTTTAGGNCCCAAATACCCAACATTTTTATGACTTTATTTTCTTCAAGAATTTAATTATTTTGTTAAAAATTCACAAAAACCCAAAGGAACTAATGTGTTGTTTTACTTTGTTACGCAAAAACGTTGAAATTAATATTCCATGACTAAAATAAATACTCTTTTTTTTTGTTGAAAAAGAAAGTACTATTTCAACAACATGAAAATAAAGTACTCATTTTGTTGAAATGAAAGAAAATACTTTTTTTACATCATGAAAAAGAAACTCTTTTTGTTAAAATAAAAGAAAATACTTATTACATCATTTTGTTGAAATGAAAGAAAATAGGGAAAATTTAACATAAGAACAACTAAGTTCCCTGCTTTTAAATTTATGGCTCATATTTCAATTTACAACCAACTAGCCCAAAAATAATAGGCTAAGATTCAACATCCAACTCTAATAGGTTGTAGAAATTACTATTTAATGTTTACAAAAGATTGCTTAAGTTTTTAAGTTAAATTTTGAATCAGTAACTATGACTCAAATATTAGTTTAACAAAACAAATCAAATTCATTTGGATGGTGAAAATTAAATTTTTAACAAGCTTAAACATGTGAGTTTAAATTTCGAATTTGATTTTATGAGAAATCTGGAGTGGGTGTTATTTAGACTTGTTAAACATAGTATAAGGAGGTTGTATATAAAATTTGAAGTCATTTAATGGAGATTTGGACTGGTTTTGAACAAGAATTGCAACTGAAAATCGTGGAAGAAGTTCATCTACAGACGCTTGTATAAAGGTGTATAAAAGTGTATAAGATGTGTTTATACATTCATATACACTATTATACAAGATTATACATCATTATACAAAAAAGCTGACTTCGTTTTCTTCCTTGCATCTTTTCTAAAATTTAACTCAAATCTTACTCAAATATACTCCAAATCACTACAAATTTAAATTTTGAACTCCTTTTGATATTTTCAATCAATTAGAACAACACCCAATCTAAACAACTAGCAAAGTCAAAAAATTCTATTTTTGAAAGCAAAGCTTTGAATGGCCTTCAATGGTGGACTTCTATTCTTTAATTTTCTTACATTATAACCAGGTGATACAGGATAAGAAGCAGCAATGACGGACGACCCTTTGAAGCATATGTAGAAGATGTGAGAAGAAGAGAGAGTGAAAGTAATGGTTGTAAGAACACAAGTTTTTAATTTGCAAGTGCTTTCAAAATATGTACAATATGGGCTAGGTTGGGTAAAACTTAAAAACATGGGCCATTTTTTGTTATGGTGTAAAGTCATGTGTATTTTCTTGTAATTTTGTTTACTACATAATTTTGTTGAAATGAAAGAACATATATTTTTTTACATCATGAAAAGAAAGTAATTTTTTTGTTAAAATGAAAAAAAAAACTTTTTTAATCTCATGAAAAGAAAATACTCATTTGTTGAAGTGAAAAAAATACGATATCTATAAAATAAAAAGAAAATACAATTAATAATATTTCTATTTAGGGAGGGGATGAGGGTGGGG